AGTGACACCGACACCCTCATGGATGCAACATCATCACCATCACCCACGTCGCTAACCTCGCCAACGTCAACAGCAGCAGCAGCAGCAGCAGCAGCAACGACAACAGCAGCGTTGTCATCGTCGTCACCTCGAAAGTGGCTAGGTCCCCGCGTTGTCAGAGGTGTGAACACGGGCACACAATCATCGGTGTGGTGTTGTTGAGCGTTTGCGTGCATGTGTGTGGAAATGTGTGTGTGTGTGTGTGGATGTGTGTGTGTGGATGTGTGTGTGTGTTTTGTTGTGTTGTGTTGTGCATAGTTGTTTGAACTCCTGTACACATTCATTCCCACGCGTATGCGCTTGAGTCTGTTCCTTCCACAACACGCCCCCTGGCCCCCTCCAATCACTCGCCATTCGCTGACCACCACCACCACCACCACCATCAACCATCACCATCAACCACCATCAACCATCCCACTCCATTTCCCTCGTGCGGCATCCACGATACCGTCCACCAGTTGAGCGTGGCGAGGGCGGGCGTTTCAACTTCGATGTGAGCGGTGGCGCCGAGAGCCTGATGCTGCCACGTGTCATCTTGCATCATGCCGGCGCCGCGCCGAATTACGTCACACACGAGCGCCTCAACACGGGCGATGAAATTGTTGCTGTCGACAACATCCAGGTGTGTGTGTGTGTGTGTGTGTGTGTGTGTGTGTGTGTGTGTGTGTGTGTGTGTGTGTTGTGTGTCAAAGGAGATGGAAACGACGCACATGCTTCTGTGGATGTGTGAGTGTGGATGTGCCTGTGGATCGACCACTTCCCTCTGACACGTGTACACATTCATCTATCCTCACCACTCTCACGCACACACTCACGCACATTCATGTCTGTGCCCCCCCCCCCACACATCGCTCCCTTGCCATTGTCAGGTCGCTGGCATGTCGCACGATGCGGTGGTTCGTGTCCTCAAAGCGGCAAAGGAGACAGTCACGCTCACCGTCCTTCCCATTGACCAGCGCACAGGTTGGTCGAGATGCGAGAAGCATGGGCGCGGGCGTGTGTGTTGCTCACGTGTGTGTTTGTGTGTGTGCGTAGGGTCTCGTGTGTGCGCGCGCGTTGGCACGATGATTAGCAAATTAAAGGAGAAAGTGTCGCGCTCACACACACACACACACACACACACACACACACACACACACACACACACACACACACACACACACACACACACACACACACACATACACACACATCCTGCAGCGTTTCAGTGCAATGACAATGCGCAGCAGGAGGGCACAGGGAAGATCTTCAAGGCGCAGTCCTCCTCGGCGTTTAGAACGCTGGACAGCGATGTGCCAATCACCACACGCCCACCGCTCTCAGGTGCGTGCAGTTGGAGTTGTGGTGATGTGTGGATGTGTACAAACGCCTTGTGTGTGCCTGTGCATGTGTGTGCGTATGCACGTGCGCGCGCGTGTGCGAATGGGCAACACAGACAAACAGAGCGTTCTTCTTGTCCTGTCACGTCTTGTCCCATGGCACATCACTAACGCGACTGCCCTGCCCATATTGTGTGTGTACTCACAGACGAGGTGGATGGCAAGGATTACCATTTTGTGTCTGTCGCGCTGTTCCAGTACCTGCTGACACACAAGCACGTCCGCGAATGGGGTCAGCTCAAGTCGCACTTCTACGGAGCTCTCAAGGTGCGGTGACATTGTGGGTGGTGGTGGAAACACACATGTGTCGGTTTGTGTGTATTTTTGCATATGTGTGTTCGTACGTTAGTGGACATGGGTGTGCTTGCACGTGAGTGGATATGGGTGTGCTTGCACGTGCGTATGTGTGTATGTGTGTTTGCGCTGCTTTGTTTCCCGGCACCTCGACGCTGTTCTTACACTGACCATCTTCTTTCTCATCATTCCCCACACCACGTGCACCTACCCCGCTTCGTGACTGTTCCAGACGACACTCGAAGTGTCACCGGTGCGCAGCCTGTCCAATGTGGACCTCATCGCCACCACCATCAAATCCCGCTGCGGTCGTCTCAAGGTCGCGCACGTGCAGAGGTAATAAATGTACATACACTGCATGTTGGTGAACACAGTGCGACGTGATGTCTTGGAGAGTCGATTTCCCCACTCTTCTTGGTGTTTGCTCTGTGCCTTTCACACACACACACACACACACACACACACACACACACACAAACGAGCGCACGCTTTCCCACTCACTCACTGTGTCATTGTCGCGCATGCACATCACCACCTGATCGTGCCAGGAACGCCAATGGCGTGTTTGGATTCACCATCGGCGGCGGTGCCGGTGTTGGTGAATTGCCGTTTGTCGATCGCGTGTGCGACGTCAAAATTGCCAACCCGGACAAAGCATCCATCCTTCCCAATGACGCAATCCTGGTGCGCACACACACACACACACACACACACACACACACACACACACACACACACACACACACACACACACACACACACACACACACAGAGCAGCAGCAGCAGCAGCGGCAGCGGTTGATTGTGTGCATGTGTGTGTTCAGTGGCGTACTATTGAGCTTGTATGCCAGATTGTTTTGCTGTACTTTGTGCCAAACCGTTTCATTCTCGCCGTTCTCTCACTGCTTCTTCCGCACACAAACACATGCACACACACGCACACGCACACACACACACACACGCTCCATGTGCTTGTATTGTAATGCCTGCAGGCAATTGACGGCGTGACTGTTGCAGCTGAGACGAGCGGTGCTGTGACGGAACTTATCACCGCTGGCGGAAACATTGTGAAACTTCTGCTTCTCACCCACTCGTTTGATGGAGGTGAGGTTGGCTCCATGCAAACATCGGTTGTGTGTATGTGTGTGTTTGTGTTCTGTTTGCATGCCTTTGGCGGCGTGCTGTTGATCTCCGCCCTTCCCTTTGTCTTCTCTCTCTCACTCTCTCACACACACACACACACACATACACACTCGCACACACGCACACACACACACTCGCACACACACACACACACACACACACTCGCACACACGCACACACACACACACGCACACACACACAATCGCACACAGTGCGTGAGCGAGGCGCAAGCGGGGATGACCGCAGCACAACGAACAGCTTCCGTGCCCACGCCCCACCAGCCATGTCCAACACATACGCAGCATCTGCATCGTCATCATCAGCCACGTCATCCGCCACGACAGGCATCACATCCTCGTCAGCAGCAGCAGCAGCGATGATGGCTCGTGGCCAGCGCGTGCAGGCAACCTCATCATCATCATCCTCTTCTATTGCTGCAACGTCAGCTACCACCACACCTGCCGCCTCTGCTGCTGCTGATGCTGATGCGCAGAACCAAAATGCGCACTCCGCTGGCGGCGTTCTAAACGCGTTTGCCCCTCCAGGCGTTGGCGATTTCGGCGTGAAGCAAGTTGCAGCAGAGATGGAGGGCACCCTTCGCAAGGCGAGCGGTGAAGCCGTTGGCGGTGGCGATGGTGGCGAAAGGGTGAAGGGTGATGGGGTGAAGGGTGAGTTGGTGTTGACCAACGGAGACATCAAGACAGCAGAGATGATGGCGCTGGAACAACACTCCGGAAAGGAGGAAGGGAAGAAGGAAGAAGACACGAAGACAGAGGAAGTCGAAGAAGACACTGAGACAGGCACTTCCGCAACGGCAGCGGAGACATCGGCACCCACCGCTGACGATGGTGGGGATGGTGATGTGAGCAAGGCCCGCGATGTGAAGAACGGTATGGGCGACGGGCAGGACGAAGCAGCCGACACGACGCAAAAGACCGAAAACACCATGGGACAGAACATGTCAGAGCCATCCACAGCACCGACAGCAGCAGCAAACGCGGAGGAGGCGGAGAAAGAAGAGGACGCGACTGGTGATGGTGATGGTGATGGTGATGGCGGTGCGCAGTGGAACAGTGATGTTGTATCTGTGGATCCATTTGCTGCTGTGGACGACACCGACACCAAGGCATCAGCCACCACTACCACCACGACCGTGGCTGGCGGTGGCAAGCAGGACATTGTGCGGGACGAGAGTCCTGTGACGAAGCGAAGCCGAACAACGACAGCGGCCAGCAGTGGTGGTGATGATGATGATGACGATGATGATGGTGAGTATGTTCAGATCATTGCAGGCGATGAGGATGACGATGACGATGACAACACGAAGAAAGAGGAGGAGGAAGCAGAGAAGCGTGTTCCCGTGAACATCGAGCCGGCGATGCATGCAAGCATCATGAAACTCTCTAAGGACCACGCCCTTGCAGGTGCGAAGTGGATTTAGGGAGGGGGAGGGGAAGTTAAGGTGCCAGTGATATATGGTGTGTGCGTGTTGTGTTCGAACGTGTGCTTGGACTTGCGTGCTTGTGTTGGTCGCACACACACACACGTTTGTGTCCACGCACAAATATAAAACACACACACACGCGCACACGCACACACACACACACACACACACACACACACACACACACAATCCTCGTTGCTCACACGTGTGCACGTGGTGCCACTCCGTGTCTTGACAGATGAGTTTGTTGCACTCTCTCGTGTTGGCGTGTCATCGACCAGCGAGCATTCGGCCAAGAACAGATCCAAGAACAGATACAGAAACATCACCGCATACGATCACACGCGCGTTGTTCTCGACATCTTGGAGGTGGGGCAACCTCAGGATGGTTCGGAAGTGATGATGCTTCATGATGGTGATATGTATGTTGGTGGTGGTGGTGGTGGTGATGGGGATATGTGTGTTGGTGGCAGTGGTGATGATGGTGGTGATTGCAACGCCATTTCATGACTCGTGTTCTGGAGCGGAGTTCTTGCTCCGTTGTCTGCGGAGCGCCGCAACGCCTTTCATCTTGAATCTCTTTGTGTGAATATGTCATTTCTCTCTCACTCGCACACACACACACACACACACACACACAATTACACTCGCACACGCACACACTCAACGCACTCGTCACACACACTCAATGCACTCGTCACACAAACACACACACACACACACACACACACACACACACACACTTGTCACACGTGCACGTGTGTTCTCAACTCAGGGCGACGATGACTGCGATTACTACAACGCCAACTTCATTCCGAGTGATAGCTCTGCGCAGTCGTACATTGCATGCCAGGGACCAACGCCCCCAAGCATGGAGGACTTCTGGTGCGTGCGTGTGTGTGTTTGTGTGTTTGTGTCATGTCGTGTGTGTGTGTGTGTGTGTGTGTCGTGAAAGTAGGTTCGGCTTGATTGGGTATTTGGTGTTTTGCAGCTCACATTCATGTCTACTATGCACGACATGGCTACACTCAACATGGTGCTGACCACATCTCTCCCGAATGGTGGACGTCCCACAGGCGTATGGTGTGGCAGAAGGATGTGTCTGTCATTGTGATGGTGACCAAGGAAACCGAGCTGGGGCGCATCAAGTGCCATCGCTACTGGCCGGTGTGTGTACGTGTGTGTGTGTGTGTGTGTGTGTGTGTGTGTGTGTGTGTGTGTGTGTGTGTGTGTGTGTGTGTGTGTGTGTGTGTGTGTGTGTGTGTGTGTGTGTGTGTGTGTGTGTGTGTGTGTGTGTGTGTGTGTGTGTGTGTTCGACCTTTTGATGACTTCGACGTCTTATCATGTCCATTGCAACGCGAACATCATATCGTCACGTACCAACGCTCCCTCACTTACCACCACCCACCACGCACCACCCACGCACCACCCACGCACCACTCACGCGCCACAACCCATGACAAACACCGAGCAGACGTTGGCTGCGACAGAGGCTGGCCGCCCGCTGGAGATGGGATATTACACCGTCAAGTGCACGGCCGAAAACGTCACGTTTCTGCTCACCGACCGCACGTTCGAGCTCGAGCGATACGGGGTAAGGCGAGACAAGGCGGTGGCTGTTTGCATATGTGTGTGCGTGTGTATGTGTGTGCGTGCGTGTGTGAAGGGAGAGTGTTGGAGACTGAAAAGGCGGAGGGAATAGGATGGTGTGCTTTGTGTGTCTATGCGTTTGAACTTTCGTGATCTTGGCTGGTGACAAGTTCCGAGAAGCCATCGATTGACCAACGACACACACACACACACACACACACACACACACACACACACACACACATACACACACACACACACACACACACACACACACACACACGCACACACACACACACACAATTATGAAGGAACCAATTCGCACTGTTCGTCAAGTGCACTACCATTCGTGGCCAGACCACGGCATCCCACAACATCTCTCAGGTGCCGCCATTCATGGCGACGTTGTTGTTGTTGTTGTTGTTGTTGTTGTTGTTGTTGTTGTTGTTGTTGTTGTTGTTGTTGTCGTTGTTGATGATGATGATAATGATGTGTGGTATCGTTGTTGCAATCAATTTGTCCGCTGATCTTGAATCACTGCTTATGACTGTTGTCACGCTTCGCGTTCACATGAACCTGCGCCCTTCGTGCCTATTTTTCACGCTCACACACACATGCACACACACACACATTGTCACACAGATCTGCTGTTGTTCCGGGAGTATGTGCGGGGCGTGCATGCGTCGATGGGTCACAGAGGGCCACTGCTGGTTCACTGCAGCGCCGGTGTTGGCAGAAGTGGAACCTTCATCGCCATTGATCGCATCATGCGTCGCTTGGAGGTGCGTGCATGTGTGTGTGCACGAGTGTTGATGTCGAGCTTACGCTCCGCCTTTATCGACGAATGCGTGTGCTCATCCCTTCTTTTCACACACACACACACACATACACACACGCACGCACACACACGCACGCACACACACGCGCGCGTGTCAGGTGATGCCACGCCACGAACCCGTGACGAAGGAGACGGTTGATTTGAACAAAATCGTGCACGAAATGCGCACGTGTCGCAACCTGATGGTGCAGACAACGGAACAGTACATCTTCCTGCACAAGCTCATCACCCACCTCCTCGCCCAGTGCAGAGAGGTGAGACAGGGCGAGCGTGTGTGTGTGTGTCCATGTGTGTGCATGGCTGTGTGTGTGTGTTTGATCATCGTGAACACGTTCGCTTCTTTGTACGCACACGCTTCTCTGTGCGTGTGTGCGTGTTCAGCACGACAGCTAGTAATCCTCGAAGGTACTTTCCATTTCATTCACCACCACCACCACGACGACCACGACGACGACCATCTTGCTCCCAACAGGTTGATGCTCTGGATGTGTCATCGCATCTGCAGTCCCAGTTTGAGCAGCGACAGCTGGAGTTTGAAAACGCATACGACTCTCTCGAATCCTACAGCGATGACAGTGATGATGACGGCAAGTGATTGTTGGGTGGTCACGTGCGAAGGAGGGCGTGAAGGGTGGTGTGTTCGCAGGGGGCGAATCACTGCTCGATTCATGCATGCGCGTGTGCATTGGTGGCTTGCAATTCGGTGTTTGTTGCTTGCAAGAACAGCACAGTTTGCTTGCCTGCAAGTGCGTTTCTTAACTTGAGGTCCGAGGCGGCGTTTGCCTGTTACCTACGTTGTTGGTGGCGTGTTGATTGGCTTCTCCTCTACTGCCTTTGCTGCCAGTTGTGTTAGCAGCCCAGATCTTGCTTGCGTTTGTTTTGAGTTTCTGTTGATGTGAGTTCGTGGACGTTTACATCACATAAACACCATGGACAAAACTGCAACACAACATGAGGTATTGCCGTGATCATCATCGTCGTCATCGTCATCATCATCATCACCAACCAACATGTGTTGTCTCGCTCTCACACACGGTTTGTGTTGTACTGCGTGATCCACACATGATCGAGCGAAGCGAGTCAGAGCACAACGCAGCGAGAGTTGGAGACCACAGCAGCCACAATGCGCTGCTGATGTAAATGAAATACACGAAGGAAAAATCAACGTGGCAAGTGCAATTGGAAAGCAATGGACAACAAGTTCTACCATCAACACACGGCAAAGCAAAAGCAAGGGGCAGTGTGTGTGTGTGTGTGCGCGTGTGCATATGTGTTTCGTTGCACAACACCAACAGCAAGAAAGGAATGCACTGCACGAACAACGACGCTGATTACAGCAACGTCACCACCATCATGATCACCATCATCGTCAGTGGTCAACAAAGTCTATTTCCACACGGGCTGTGTTCCCGCTTGCTGTTTTCCATCACCGCGAACTCCGCTGTTCTTCATCTCATCTTGCGATGGGGGTGGTAGAGTGGTGTGGGGGCGTGGTGTTAGGGGTGGCCTGTCGTGTACAGTTACTGTGCGAGCTCGCATGTGGTGTTGCCGTGTTGATCTCAACATGGCAAGGACTTGCAGGCAAACAGACGACAAAGAGATGCACACGTGTACACATGATCGCACGCACACACCTGTTGAGCGCTTTGATGAACGCAGAGAGTTGGCGAGCCACGGCTTTTCATAGTCGCGACGAGGTCTGAAATGCCCGCGATGAACGACAGAAGGGAAAGGAAAGGGAAAGGAAGGAAGGAAGGAAGGGAGGTGAGACCACACACACACACACACACACACACACACACACACACACACACACACACACACACACACACACACACACACACACACACACACACGCGCGCGCGCGCGCGCACACACACACACACACGCACGCACGCAGGCACACGCACACACATGTGATGCGACGTACTTTGGCTGCCCATCACCATCATCATCATCATCATCTTCGTCGTCGTCACCATCGGTGTCCCGCCGGTGCTGCTGCTGTTCGTGCTTGGCGCGTCGTGAAGGAAAATGGACACCACCACCACCACCACTTGCACCGCCCTTGGCACCTTGCTGCTGGTGCTCTTTGTCTTTGCCCTTGCGTGTGGTGCCGGTCGCAGCGCTGGCTGTGCTGTGAATGCTCACACCGCCATCGCCGCCACCATCACCACCACCATCATCATCGTGATGGCCAGTGCCGCTTGCGTTGTGTCCCGGTCGGCGTGTGTTCGCTGATGCAGATGTTGATGCTGCTGTTGCGTGCGCATCCTCGCGTCGCCTGCGAAGCGGCGATGGCTGCAGCGCGTGCTCAGAACGCGTTTTGTGGGAGGACCCTGCCCCACTACGCGGCCCCGCGTTTCTGCCACTGTCCTTCCGCTGTCGTCTTTCGCCAGCGTGATCACGGCGTTCATCATCATCACCACCACCACCACCACCGCTTTTGCGTTCACCACCGTCACCGTGGTTGCCAGCACGGTGCATGGTGCTGTTGGTGTGCTGGTGCTGGTGCCTCAGTGCCAGCAATCGCTCCTTGTTCAACGAATCCTGAGCAAACATCCGCATGTCAAACTCTGCACCGTGGGGATTGTTGGTATTGTTGTTGTTGTTGTTGTTGTTGTTGTTGTTGTTGTTGTTGTTGTTGTTGTTGTTGTTGTTGTTGTTGTTGTTGTTGTTGTCGTTCGTTATGTGAAGTAAAGGGAGAAGAGCACACACGGGCGAGACACCATCAATCCACATGACGCTGTGTGTTGCGGACAACACATCACGCGTGCCTGCAAGCACGCGGCGAAAGCCAACTGCAACCGACGTACCATATCCCGTTGTGGCGGCGGCGCGTTGGTCCGCAAGCGGCATGTTACCTCCTGTCGACAACAATGCAGCGAGGAGAAGGCGGAGGAAGCAAAGGGCGAGGTGAATGAGGAGAGGAGAGGGGGGGGCAGTGACAAGGCAGCGAACACCACCCTGACGCACGACACACACACACACACAGACACACACACACACACAACACAGACACACACACACAAACACAGACACACACACAGACAGACACACACACGACACACACACACACACACACACACACACACACACACACACACACACACACACACACACACACACACACACACACACACACACACACAGTATCACCACCTTGAGCACCGGTCCGGAAGGGAGGCTGTGTCCTGTCACCCCAATCAGCACCACCATCATCATCACCACCACTGCGGTGCTGGCGCGCGTATGCCTCCTCCTCCACTTCCT